ACCAAAATACAGGGCAGGGGAAAAGTAAGCATGCTGTGGGAGAGGGGAGCTCAGGTGTCAGCTGGATGGGCCAAGCAGGGCTGGGGAAAGGGTTTACAGAATAGAATGAATGATCTACATGTAAACATAAAGATCAGTGAGAACAAACTGATAGTGAAGGAGGAAATGATCATATAGAAAAGGGTGAGTTCTTTCAATACCAGGAGAAGAGTAAGTATTCAGAGTATCTGGTTCATGAGGTTGATTTGGGAAAAGTTGTACTTTTTGAGAATATGATAAAAGATAAAAATAGTGGCAAGGAAAGTTTGCCCTCTTTTAAATATTAATTTTTCATCTTAGTGTGAAAAATATAGATAAACACAAAAAGGAACACAATCCTTTTAATCTCACCAATCTTGACATTTTGGTGTATTCTCTTCTAACTTCTGTGTTTGTATATATTTATATTCTAATATAAAATATGTTCACATATGCACATTTGCAATTGTGAGAGCTTATACATAATATTAGTAAAGTTGCTTTTAGTTATATTCGTTTTTAAAATACTTTTTAAAAACCCATGGTTTTTAATGACTGCATATATTTAATCCTATGGATATCTCATAACTCATTTAACCATTCTCTTGTTAATGGAAATGGTTATTGTTGGAAATTTAGGCTGACTCCTTTTTTGATATTCTAAATCATACTGTTATGAACATCTTTGTGTATAAATCTGTGATCCCTAGAGTTTTAGTTTTGCATTAAACTATATTCCAGAGTTCTTGCTGAGTGAGAGGTTAGAAGAAGCAGCTTTCAGGAATTAAGGAAGTTGTAGAAAGTTTAATACAACAATTATTATGGATCGGGAATGGACCATGTGGTCTTTTTGTTTGTTTGTTTTGCTCCTGTCTAGAATTTGTTTAAGCAATTTCCCAGTGTATGAGCTGTGGTTGCAGGCAGAGCCCCTTTCTCACAGCAGAAGTGAGATACTCCTTTCTAGGCCTCCTTACAGCTAACAGATGGGCCAGTGACTTGCCCAGCTATTTCTGCCTAGATCTGACCAGGAGCTACTGGTACAGAGGGGCAGGGCTGGAGGAGACTCTGTCCTGGTAGCAAAGGTGCTACTGGCAGGGGTCCAGCATCCAGTGCCACTGGTGCCAGCTGCAGTGCCCACTGTCCAGCAATAGTAGCAGCAGCATCTCCTGAAACCAGCTCTCTGGCCATAGAATTTCAGTCATGGTTCTGGCTGCTCAGCTCCCACTTTGTCCCTGTATATTTTCTAAGCCTGCTTAATTGACATTCCTGGTAATTCCAAGAGGTCTCAATAGCCTTCACTAAATCCTTTTTCTGTTTCAATCAGCCAGAGTAGACGTCTATAGTTTGCTATCAAGAATCCTAACTAGATGGGAGGAACAAAGATTTGAGAGCAGCAAGTGTAGAGACAGAGAGGGGCCAGATCACATCAGAGCAGTCACAGGATTTCCTCAGGCAGGGCTAAAGGTGCTGGACCGTAGGCATTAGGAGTCAGACAGGGCAAAACATGGATGATGACTACACAGCAAAAAGAAGCTGGGAGAGTGCTCCAGGGTCTGGAAAGGATAAGCAAAAGGCCTTATCTAAGATACAAGGGCAAGAGCAGTGGGACAAAAGCCTCAGGCAACTAGACAGAGAAGAATCTGAGAGTAATCAAGGGAGTAAAGAAGAAAATGCAGTTGGAGTCAGGTGGTGTATAACATGCAGAGGTTACAGTCAGGGGACAGGAAGGCTGGGCTGAAGCCTGGGAAAGGCTGTGCTGAACATCAGCAATCAGTGGAGGTGGACAGCAGGAAGGAAAAGGATGTGCAGCAGATGGGGATGACGTATTTGCTTGGCTCACATGATGGTACACAGTATTTCTTTTTTATGTTTATTTAATCATCTGAGGAGTAACAGTTAAACAGAAACATCTAAATATCAAGACTAACATTAAATCACCAAATAAATTCTAAACCCTCGAATCACTGACTATTTATGAACCTCAGGTCTCTTACAATTCTATTGGTGACAGAATTTTCAGAGATGTCATCATTGTGTATACAGCATTTTGGGGTCTACTTTTCCACGTATACAGCTACATCCATTCTGTGTTTCTCCACTGCGTGAACGTACCGCAGTCATCTAGCCACTTGCTGATTTCTCTTTATCCAGCATAGCTTTCATCTTCTTTTAAGCCATACCAAAAAGGTAAGCAAGTTATAAATTGTTTTCATTTAGGCAAATGCACCAATGTTTTAAGGATACTGAATTTATTGGCTCATCCTCAAATATTAGTTACTTGCATTTTGCTTGGTGAGAACTCAAAAAAACTTTCCAATTTAATCAAATAAATAACTGGGAAGAACAGTAAACGTTGGTTCTGTAGGCTCTTGCCCAATTGATAAGTTCCCTCTAACGCGCTCTATCGTTATTTGGTCTGGTCAGAATATTCCTGCTCGTTGTGCATTCACATAATCCATCAAGAGGCTGAATGACATGGTGCTTATGCACCAAGGCTTTGCAATCATGCAGACCATGGTTGGCTGCTTAACAGCAATGTGACCTGGGACAGTTTACTTACCCATGCTATGTCTCAGTTTCCCCTGTCATGAATTCATTCATTCAACAAATATTTTATTGAGCAAAGATAATATGACAGGTACTGTTCTGAGCATTAGGGATTTATTAGTGAACAAAAGTCCTAGCCCTTGTAAGGTTTACATTACCGTGGGTAGACAGAAAATAATAGATATATAGTCATGTGTTGCTTAACAATGGGGATACTTTCTGCGAAATGCATTACTAGGTGATTTCGCTGTGTGTGCACATCACGGGGTGTACTTACAAAAATCTGGATGTTACACCTACGCTAAATTGTATAGCCTACTACTTCTCCTAGATCACAAACCTGCATAGCATGCTACTATACTGAATACTGTAGGCAACTGTAACACATGGTTAAATATTTGTATATCTAAACACTTCTAAACATAGAGAAAGCACAGTAAAAATACTGTATGAAAGACAGAAAATGGCACACCTGTATAGGGGACTTACCATGAATGGAGGTTGTAGGCATGGAAGTTGCTCTAGGTGAGTCAGTGAGTGGTGAGTAAGTGTGAAGGCCCAGGACATTCCTGTACACTACTGTAGAACTTATGAACACTGTACACTTAGGCTATACTAAGTTTATTAAAAAATATTTGTTCTTTCTTCAATAATAAATTAACTTTAGCTTACTATAACTTTTTTTACTTTATAAACTTTTAAATTTTTGAAAAAACTTTGACTTTTGTAGAAATATTTAGTTTAAAACACACATTGTACAGTTGAACAAAAAGATTTTTTGTATCTTTTTTTTTTTTTTAAAGTTTTAAGCCTTTTTGTTAAAAACTAAGACATAGACACACACATTACCCTAGGCCTACATAGCATCAGATCATCAACATCACTGTCATCCACCTCCACATCTTGTCCCACTGAAAGGTCTTCAGGGCCACTAACACGCATAGAGCTGTCATCTCCTATGAGAACAATGCCTTCTTCTGGAATACCTCCTGAAGGACCTGCCTGAAGCTGTTTTACAGTTAATGTATTTTTTTTTTTTTACTAAGTAGAAAGAGTACACTCTGAAATAGTGATAAAAAGCATAGTATAGTAAATAAACCAGTAACATAGTAATTTATTATCAAGTATTATACACTGTACATAATTATATGTGCTATACTTTTACATGACTGGCAGTGTAGTAGGCTTGTTTACCAGTGTTAGTTACATTAGGACAACTATGATGTCACCAGGTGATCGGAATTTTTCAGCTCCATTATAATCTTACAGGACCACTATTGTTTGTCTGTTGTTGACTGAAAAGCAGGATAAGGGAATGGGGTGATATAGAAGACAAAGACTTTCCTGAGGAGGTGACTTACTCATAAGCAAGTATCTGATGAAGTAGTAGGGTATTCTGGGCAGAATCAGATACTGATTAGAGCAAGAGGCAGTAAAGAGGATGATGAATGAAGATTTTGTGGACTGACTCTAAGTTACTGAAGGCCAATGGAAGGGTTTGGGGGCTGAAGAGGAGGGGGAGCTTGAGACAGATTATAGCTAAATAGAAATATTATGCCAGGGTGAAACTGTATCTCAGGGTTCTGAACTTCTTGTAGTGAATAACCCAAACAGAGATGCAGGGCAAGACAGAACTGGCCCTGCCAGTTCTTAGTGGGAGGTGGAGAGTCAGTTCTAACATATTCTCTTCTTGGGAATTGGTAGTGGTAAAGTGGAGAATGTTAGGGATGGGGAATGCTAACCAAACCAGAAGCAAATGTAGCACAGGGGAAACGGTATCTGCTGGGGAGATTAAATAAGATAACACATGTAAAGCATTTAACACAGTGCTTGCTCCATGGTAATGCGTCAATAAATGGTAGCTATTATTATCCATCAAAGAGCAAAGTAATATACTTGTGGCATTTTTCAAACTTTAAGAGTACTGTGTGGAAGAATGGCCTGAGCCTTATGAAACGCATAGATGATGTGGGCTGTGCTAATCTTGTCCTCAAGTCCTGTTACTCTGTCACAGGCATAGCATTGACCTGGCATGACTCAGCCTACCCTTCAGGGGATACTGGATAATAGTAACCCAGCCATCCAATTTGGTCTCTTTGTCTTCCAGTCATATATATCACTTGCAGTAGATTGGGCAGGGCAAAAATTGAGGAAGGGTCCCAGAAAATACTGCTCTTGGTAATCAGGCTTCTTCTTTTTATATAAATATATATATTATAATATATTTAAATATTTATATATATATCAGGCTCCTTCTATCTTTACATAAATATATAAATATCTTTTAAATATATTTATATATAAAGATATGTAAATATATAAAGATATTAAATATAAATATGTATAGATATTTCTATATCTTTATATATTTATATACATTTATATATGTTTATTTATAATTTATATATATTTATACATGTGTAAAGATAGAAGAAGCCTGATTACCAAGGGCAGTATTTTCTGGACTTCCACCAACAGTGGATGCCTAAAGGATTCTTGAGCTTCCCCTACTCGGGATCTGCAGTGACCTTGTAGTACACTTCTTAGCCCGTGGCCAAATGGCCTTGAAGGTCTGTAGCCGTAACATAGTGAACAAGTCTGATGACATGATAAATAAGGCTGAGCTTGCCATTTCAAAACAAGAGTTGTCAATTTTGCCCTTGTATGGGAAACTAGACTTCCCAGCCTACTTGTGATCATCCTGATTTTTGGGGTTTGGTCTGAGCTATAAGTAGTGCAGACATTCAGGCATCAGGCTCCAACATCCCCTCTACAACTTAGGGATGCCCAGCTTTGGTTTCAGTGCATATCAGTAGCATCCTACAGACCCAAGGGGCTATACAGTCTGCATGCTCCATGCATGTTGATGACTGCTTGCCTGACTGTAACTGCAGGGAAGGCAAAAGAGCTCAGAGGTTGTCAATGCCACACTGGGTTGGTATTTCATTTCCTTGCCCTGATGTTCCATCACGAAAAACAAATACATAAATAAAGACCTAAACATTTTTTTGGTTGGAATGGTCAGGCCATGCCTGCTTAGCATCATCACTACAGATTGTTATCAGGTTAACCAAACATTGTTTTCCCAACCTTCCTGGCGGCTCCTACTTTCAGTTGAGGAAACCGAATCTTTTAGTTTTCCTGTTCTCTGGACCAAGGTGATGATTTCCTGGCTTCTTGATCTTTTTTTGTTTTCATTGTATTTTCAACTCTCTGAAATGTTTTCACAGAGGGCTTTAAACTCTACTAACCCAGTATTTTTTCCTTTTGTTTTCTCCACACCCTGAAGTAAGTGGCTTCTCAAAAGCACAGACAGCTAGAGCTAGATGAAACCTCAGGGAATAATTTAGGTCAATCCCTTTCCTTCGGCTTGAGGAGTAAGGGAAACACATTGACAATACCACTTGCTAGGAATAGAGTCTACATGTGGCATTTTGCAAAATTACCTAATTTAAACCTTAGAATAGCTCTGAGAGGTAGATGTTCTATCCTCCTGTTTTAGACAAGGAAGCTATGGTACAGAGAAATTAACTGGTCTATGTGAGATCATACAGTTAGCTAGTGACATAGCTGAGACTCAAACCCACGCTTTTTGAAGATTAGGCCAGGGTTCTCCTCTCAACTATACTGGCCTGGCTGAGGCCTGCCAACTAGGTCTAGCTTTTGCTGGAAGTGGACTTAAGGCAAGAGGGCTCTAAGAAAGGTTCTGACACAGGGAATTTAATTAAAGGTTAAATTCTGGCAATTGTTATTAACATTTTATATAGCTTTAGCAGAGATATCAGTAGCAGACTATAACATGCTATTGTCACAGTAAGATGGATTAGGAAAGGTTTTCAGCAGAGAAAATGGTGAAATGGTTAATGTTTTCACAAGAAAATGGAGTGTCCGTCCTAAACAGGAAGAACTGGCTTGAATTCAAAATGATTATATAATTCCTGACTTCAGTCATGGCACTCTCTTAAGTAGGTAAGTGATATTTTTCCTGTGATACTTCCTCAATTTTTGTACACATACCTACGTATTAAATTTCTATCTTGCTGAACTGAAAACTGGTCAATAGTGTTCCTTATTTTATGTGCATACTATTTTTGCAGTATAAAAATAAGCTTAAGAATTTTTATAGAAGATGATCTGATTCATTAACTCTGAGTCAAAGGATATGTAAGAACACTTCTCCATGAGATTCTGAGCATGTGTGTGTGTTTATGTGTGTGAGAGAAAGATACAGATATACAGAAAGAGAGACATTCATATATTCAAAGACAATGAAACAGAGGCAAGGAGGTAGAATATGACAAGTTGAGATCCTAAAGTTTCTGTGCTCTTAGTGTGCTTAAAGAACGTGGTATTTTGGGCCAGGTGCTCATGCTTGTAATCCCAGCACTTTGGGAGGCCAAGGCAGGCAGATCACTTGAGGTCAGGGGTTCGAGAATAGCCTGGCCAACATGGTGAAACCCCGTCTCTACTAAAAATACAAAAATTAGCTGAGCACAGTGGCACGTGCCTGTAATCCCAGCTACTCAGGAGGCTGAGGCAGGACAACTGCTTGAACCCGGCGGGGCAGAGGATGCAGTGAGCTGAGATTGCGCCATCGCACTCCAGCCTGGGCGACAGAATGAGACTCTGTCTCAAAAAATGTATATATTTTGGAGCCAAGTTTGGATTCCACACATTGAATAAGCAGTCAAGGTCCTCCAACGAAAATGTCCTTCACTGTCAGTGCTTTCAGGCTTTCAAAGATTGTTTCCTTTACTTGTCCATCACATATTTCCCAAAATCATAGCAGTGATGCACCTCACCCATCAGTAACTTACAGAAGCAGAATGACACTGCTTTGTTGAAATCAGGAGGTTTTTGGAAGGTTTTAAAAACTGACTTCAAGTTCAGCTGAGTTACATTAAGACTGCTTGGCTGCACTAATGACTGTTTCCTATTGCACATGCAAAAGACAAGAACATTGTAGGACTTCAGGAAAGCAGTGAGTTTATCGCAGCTCTATTCCGAGAGGATCCCACTGAAAGCAAGTAGAGGAGTGACTCTATGCTAGTGTTTCTCAGACTTTCACATCACATTCATCCAGGGGTACTTAACAGAAATGGAGATTCTTTCTAAATCAGAATCCCTGGGTCTAGGCACCAGGAATACACATTTCAAACAAGCTTCCAGGTGATTCTGGTGCACACTGGAGATTGGGGACGTCTGCTCTACACTATAGGAACAGGGTTGGCTATGTTCAGGCATGGTATCCCTACCTTCATGCAACCTGGCAGACGGGGTGTGTGTGTGTTAAAGAGGAAAAGCAGTGGGAAGAAGGAGATGTGGGCACTGGTGATCCATCAAAGGCCGTTCTCTCTCATCCTGCTCAATACCACTTTACGGGCCAGCAGCCCTGCTGAACCCATCTGGGAGGGGCTTTTCAGTGAGCCTGAGGTTTCCAACAGCAGAGAGAACTGCCAGATATTGGAGAACTCAGCCAGAATGCCCCTCCATGTGTTGGTTAGGCTTCTGGAGTCATCTCTTAGAAGGCAGGTATCCCTGAGTGGAGTTCAATCGAAAGGACTAGAAGTTAGTTCCCTAATTATCTGTTAACACTTTATTTTTATTTTTTTGAGATGGAGTTTTTTACTCTTGTCACCCAGGCTGGAATGCAGTGGCACAATCTTGGCTCACCGCAACCTCCGCCTCCCGCATTCAAGTGCTTCTCCTGCCTCAGCCTCCCAAGTAGCTGGGATTATAGGCGCCCACTACCATGCCCAGTTCATTTTTGTGTTTTTAGTAGAGACAGGGTTTTACCATATTGGCCAGGCTGGTCTCAAACTCCTGACCTCAGGTGATCCACCCGCCTCGGCCTCCCAAAGTGCTGGGATTACAGGTGTGCGCCACCGTGTCCAGCTGTTAACACTTTAAAAAAGCGTAGTTTAGAGTATCCAGAGAATATGCACAGGATATAAGGAAGACACCCAAAAGTGGAAAGACAAAGACATTAATATTAATAGGGAGGTGGCAGGTGGCAAGGCACCATATCCCCTGCCACTTAAAGTCATCTTGCCTGCCAAGGTGTCCCATTCCATCCCTGCTAAAGGGCATGTGAGAAATGGCTTGCTGCAGGTGCTTCGCATTACAACCTGGGCCTTTGGGGGAGGTGAGGGTGCAATAAGTAGGGCCTCATTGGTGGGGTTCAGTCTGTCAGTAGCACAGAGTGGACCCTCTCCCAGAGTAGTCTTAAGGGCAGGGGCAGCAAGTTTTAATCCAGCAGTTGATCTGGAGACATTTTGCCTGACTAAAAGCCGAGTCTTGTTAAGGAAGAGATTCTCAAACACCATGGTGAGAATATTAAACCTCTGAGTTTTCTAAATCAAATATGAAGCCCCCTGTTGATTGAAACAGTTTCTGCCTAATTGCAAACAAGATGGGGTATTTGAGGCATTGACGGTCCAGGGAAGGGATAGCTGTGAAAGCATGGGCTCCAGAGCCTGACTGCCTGGGATTGCATCCTGGCTCTACCATTTCCTGCCTGTGTTATCCTGGGGGAATCGTTTCACCTCTCTGTACTTCAGTTGCCTCATCTGTAAAACAGGGATTTGAGTAGTGCTTCCCTTATGGGGTTATAGGGAGGATTAAGTGAAGTAAGATCGGCAAAGCAATTAGATCATAGCACGTCTTACATTTGCGGCTTAGTTTTATTTTTAGTTTCTCTGTACAGGACTGCCTCACAATAAATACCAAAAGATGTGTCTTGGAACTGAAGCAGGGAGGAGAATCTTTATGGCATCTGTATGGTTGATGTTCTTTCAAGATCGACAGTGGCTCTTTTGACTGAATTACAGTCTTCTCTCCTCCCCCAAATCCCACTGAGGGCATGGCTGGGCCACAGTCCAGGCATCTTCTGTTGGGGCAGCAGGTTCTCAGGTTCTCTTTGAAGAGTCTTTTAAGGGGAAAAGAGGTGGCGGTGGCAGAATAAACTCCTATTTTGTGCAGTTCAGCTAACAGGGAAGATAATGCACACCAAGTTATTTACTGGTAGGGCTTCTCAGGGTAAGATTTAAAATAAAATTCTGTTGGAGAATATAGACAGTCCATTCTAGGGTATAAAATGGAATTATCTTAACCAGGATTAAACCACATTTCCTGAGTCTGACGGAGCGTTTCCAGGGAGAGTAAGCGCCATGCAGCCTTCTATGCCAGTTGTCCATTGTTGTTCCTGACTCCCACCTCCACTGGCTGTCTAACCCCATTCAGTTTTCCCTGCCAGCCCACCATGGTGTAAATCTTTGAAACAGAGAGCTGGGTCTGAAAACAAAACCAGGCTCCCTTTGATTGGGGGAAGTGCTGGCAATGGGAAGGTATGAAAGAAAACTGGATGGAGGGACACTAACTTTAAATGTGCTGTTAATTATAAGCAAGTGTGCTAAAATCCATGTTAAAATTCTAATAACTACCACCAGCTTATCACTCTGTGTTGTCTCATCTATATGACTTTATTAAAAAATATATTTATGAATTAAATAGTCATGACCTGAGCAGAAGGGCAGCATAGTATAACAATAAAGTATAGATGCTGTAGTCTCAGGCTATCTGGGTTTGAATCCTGTCTGCCACTTGGCCTTCAGACTTTGGGTAAGCCAATTTTCTTTCTAATGCCTCAGTTTTCTTATTCACAAAATGAGGACAGACATGGTAGGTAACTAACTCATAGGGTTACTGTGAGGATTAAATACATATAAGGTATTATAGCTAGGTACTGGCATTTTACCTGGCTTGGGGCTTGGGAAGATGAGTAAGCCATCAGAGAGCTTACAATTGAGAAATGGTATTGTATTCAGCCCCTATCACATGCTCTGCACAAAGCAGGTACACACAAAAAAATCTCATGGGAAGACTGAAGAAATTACTCATACATTGTTAGGTGTCTAGAGGTGCTGGCCAGTTTAACATCACAAAATATCCCAGAACAAACATAGGTTTTATGCAATACCTGTACAAATATGAACAAAAACTTCTGAAACATGTCATTAGTTAAAAACTCCATGCTCCAGTCCTGAGTCTTTAAAAGCTATGAAACATCCTTATAAAAAGCAGACTACAAAGAGAGAGCCTGTCCCAGGGGTCAAATTCCCTACATTCAGGCAATTTGAGGCAAAAGAAAAATGTAATTTAAATCCCCCCACTCCCACCAAAAAAGACATAGTCCACAACGTTAAAACAAAACAAAACAAAACAAAAAAACCCTCTAGCTAAGCATCCCATTATAAACTTTCATTAGACCAATTTTTTTTGGAAAACCTGAAATGAGGCTTCAAGTGCTTATCTGAATGATTAGACATAATTATGAGGCAGGAGTATCTATAACATCCTGGCATTCTTGAAAGCATGCAGCCCTCAAATGTCCCCAACACACCAACTTTACTCCTTTTCCACTCTTCCTTTCCCCTCCTCTCTCTCTCTCTCTTCAGTCAGTGAAAGGCAAATTTCTGTGTTATCCCATTCCCTGCAGTTTTAACCTGCCAGGGGATTCCCTCTCCAGCTCCCTCCTGAGGGACTGGTCCAGCTTCTCTTACTGGCCAAGTTCATCTCTCCTTTGGCTCCAGCTGTCTTTCCCACACTAGATTCCTCATGGAAACCCTCTCATCCTGCTGGGAAAGGACCTCTGGCAGCACTGCCATTTATAATCTTATTAACTTTAGGAAACAGCTCTCCTACTATGATACACTTCTCTTGCCTTTTTTCCTTCTCTTGCCCAAATCCTGTTAATTTTACTCAGAAAGCCTCTCAAATCTGGGCCTTGCTCTTGATCTCCACCATCCCTGACTGGTGTAGGCCATCTCTCCTCCCACGTGGTTCCCCCAACCCTCCCACCCACATTCCCAGCCCTATCTCCTCCTGCTCCATTTCACTCTTTACAGTGCTGCTACATGACTTTTTCCTAAAACGCAAATCTAGTCATGTCATCACTTACCTTCGATGGCTTCTTCCTGCCTTCAAAATAAAGTCCAAATATCCTGGATTAAAAGTTCCTTCCTAAAACTCACTACCTATACTTTTATTCTTCATTATTGCGGTTTGAAGACTCGCCTGAATTATTTTCTATGGTAATAGAGAAGCTGCATCAGTATTGTTCCAGTTACTAAAACAACAATAAATGTGAGGAATCAAGAAATATATTTCTGGCCAGGCCTGGTGGCTCATGCTTGTAATCCCGGCACTTTGGGAGGCCAAGGTGGGAAGATCACTTGAGCCCAGGAGTTCAAGATCAGCCTGGGCAACAGGGTGAGACCCTGTCTCTCTAAAAAAAAAAAAAAATCAGCTGGGTGGCATGCACCTGTTGTCTCAGCTAGCCTCAGGAGGCTGAGGCAGGAGGATTACTTGGGCCTGAGAGGCAGAAGTTGCAGTGAGCTATGTTCATGGCACTATACTCCAGGCTGGGTAAGAGCAAGATCCTGTCCTAAAAAAAAAAGAAATATATTTCCTGTTGGTAGCCATGTATTTGGTGATCATTTAGGTACAACCAGTTGTGCAATTCTAAAGCAGACCTAATTGTTCCAAATGCCTTCTTTGTTCAAATTAATGAGTTCTGTAATACATAAACCAGGATTAGCAAAGATTTGGCCAGTATGAGTTAATTCAACCTATACTTACTGGAAATCAAAAGCTTTAAGACCAACATGCCACATTAAAAAAAAAAAAAAAGAAAGAAAGAAAAACAGGAATGTGGAGGGAGAAAAATCACTAAATTGAAGGTTCAGAAAGAGAAGAAGAGAAGGCAACAAAGACATATCCTACCTACCAAATGACCAATTCTGCCCCAGGCTGTGCCTGATCAAAAAATGGCAGTTAACACACACTCAAATTCTTTGTAAATAATTTGTAATTTCATTTTAGTCTCCACAGCCACAATAGGTGGTAGCTATGATTATCCATATTTTAAGGTGAGAAAATAGGCTTGCAATGTTTATTTTGCTTACCATGGTAATCACTGGTTAAATACAATGCTTAAAGTTAGGGGGTAATACTCAACCCTCCTGTTTCCCTAGAGGGAAGAGAATTTCCAAGTTCCAGGTGGGAAGAGTAGAGTCTCTTCTTTTCAGTCTTCTCACTCTATCCTTCTCTAAGGAGAAAGAGCAGCTTGCCTGATCAGTGAGTTCAGGAGGACAGACTGAGGATGCTCAGCCAGCCCCCATGGGCTTTTTCACTTTTTAAATTCTTTTCAGCTTGTCTATTGTCAACATGTGACCATGCTCTACACCCAGACGGGTGTGCTGGATAGGGAAGAACAGAGGCAGGCCTGCTGTCTAATTTAGGAGAGAAGTATTAGTAAACCTAGGGTGGCTGCATATATAAGCAGCATCTTCCAACATGGCTTTTATTGTTGATAAAGTGAATAATTTGATTTCTATGCCTTCTTTTTTTTTAATTTTTAATTTTAAAGACAGAGTCTCACTCTGTAGCCCAGGCTGGAGTGCAGTGGTGCCATCTCCGCTCACTGCAAGCTCTGCCTCCCAGGCTCAAGCAATGCTCGTGTCTCAGCCTCCCGAGTAGCTGGGATTTCAGGTGTGCACCACCACGTCTGGCTAATTTTTGTATTTTTAGTAGAGATGGGGTTTCACCATGTTGGCCTGGCTGGTCTCGAACTCAAACTCCTCAAGTGATCCACCAACCTTGGCCTCCCAAAGCGCTGTGATTATAGGTGTGAGCCACCAAACCCAGCCATTTCTATGCCTTATTTCTCAGCTGGTTATGAATGTAAGTGGAGAAGACGGGGGGCTATCAACTGGCTTCCTAAAAGCCAAATACAAGGCATAAATATAGGCATTCAATTAAATGAATGAATGAATTTGTCCAAGGCCACATAGCTAATAAGCTATAGAGTAGAGACCTGGATCTGTGTCTGACAGAAAGGCATGATTTTCTAAACTTCCACTTTGATGCTTCTCATACGATGTACTATTTCCAGGAGTAAATTCATGCTTCCAGATGGCTGCCAGGAAACTGGAAACACTGGTTGTTGCAGGCACAAAGTACCTTAAAGACACAGGTATGCCTAAGAATGTTGCTGATAATCTATTTTTCTACAACAGTGATGAGGGATGAGTTCAGTAATGACTGCTTGTTGTCAGTTACCTCATGGGCCAATATCGATTAAGCCCTGTAGGTACTGAGGGGGAACCTGCAAGGTGGGGAGAAGTAGCGTAAGCAGCCCCAGCAGCAGCATGGAACAGATCGGGAAGGAGAAAGGCAGGCAGCCTAGCCTGAAGTTGGATGAGCACAAGAGGGGCGGGGCAAGGGACTGAGGACCAGGGGAAGGAGGCTGAGTGGGTTGGGGATGAGGGGAAGGCAGGGGAAAGAGGATGAACATAAAAACGCCAGGACAGCAAAAGACTGAAGAGAAAAGTATGTCCAAACAAAAAATATAAAGGGGAGACAGATAAAAGAACAAGAGTAAATCACACGCTATGAAAATAGCCACAAACGGATTTTCCATTTCATGTCAAAATGATGAAAAGTGAGAGCTGGCCTGTGTGCCAGTAGCCTTCAGAAACTCAGAAATAAAATATCCCATTTGAAAATAGTTTGGGGAGCCAGTAGATGACAAGATTCCTCCTGCAGGCAAAAGTGAATTAAAGCAACGATAGTTATCTACTGCTCCTTCCCCACTCCCACTGTTTGGCTGGCAAGCACATATGAGCTCAGCAGGACTCTGTAATTGCTTTTTAAGAGTATCTGGTAGAACTGAAGATTGTGTGTTCACAAACACCATATAAAAACAGGGTCATCTTTGCCTTCCACGAAGTGTTTTTCACTCTGTTTCAAGGCCCAGCTTAGTCTTTTTTCCCCTTACTAAAGCGGCAAACAAAGAATTCTCTGACACACTGCACCCACTGCAGATGAAAGCGCTTAAGTGTGAGTGAAAGCAACAATGTTTAGAGTGACATTTACTAGCTGAAAACAGTGAAATCAGAGCGTTCCAGTTCACGGAGATTAAATGTCAGGCTTTAAACATTTAGTAGAGTATTAACTATGGAAGTTTTAAAATTTAGGATTCAGTTTTATATTGCAAACAGCACTTAAAACTTTTTAAAGCAAGGAAACAAGTGGTCCATAGGCTGAATAAACATATTTATTTTCAACTGAAAGTGAATGAACTGCAGGACAGTTACTGAGCTTAGCGCAACAATACCAGAGGTGCTCACTGTCCTTCACCATCCCAGATTAATAAGAGAAGGGTGACATTCTTCACACTTCATGTTTTGGAAGACACAAGTCAAAGTCCAAAACACAGGAGTTTGCGGGCACATAATTTTCCACAGTGGTTGTGGACTTTAAAAGTTCAAGAGTTTTTATATTATTGTTCTAGAATGAATGCCCTCGGTCTTTTTTTTTTTTTTTTTTTTTTTTTTTTGAGACAGGGTCTTGCTTTATTGCCCAGGCTGGAGTACAGTGGCACCATAATGACTCACTGCAGCTTTGACCTCCTGGGGTCAAGTGAGCCTCCTGCCTCCACCTCCTGAGTAGCTGGGACTACAGTGTGTGTCATGCCTGGCTAATTTTTAAAAATTTTAAAATATTTTGTAGAGATGGGGTCTTACTATGTTGCCCAGGGTGGTCTTGAACTCTTGGCCTCAAACAATCCTCCTGCCTCGGCCTCCCAAAGTGTTGGGATTATAGGAATGAGCCACCATGCCCAACCTGAATGCCTTTTAATGGACCAAAAAAGTAAGAGGGGAAAATATAGCATTTTTGTTTTAATATTATTTTCCATAGATAAATTTATTTATGACAAAATTAGCTATAATTTCTAAATATAACATCCATATTTGATTCAATCACAAAACCTCAGAATTTGGTATCAGTAGTCCTTTCATTCAAAGTCAGCTAGTTAAGTATCTTCTCTATTATGCTTACTATGAGGTGTTGGATAGATACAAAGCCAGTGATAATGGATATTTCAAACTTTGTTTTAAACATCTTGTATGCATTGTATTCAATTCCCAATATCTTTATGAGGTGGCCACAATTATCCTCATTTTACAGATAAGAAACCTGGGGCTTTGAAAGATTAAGGACTTTGCCCAAGACCAGAGGACTACTAAATTATGTAGAACCCAAACTCCAGCACTGACTCCAAAGCCTGGGAAATTAACTTCCTTTTTTTTTTTTGAGACAGCATGTCGCTCTGTCCCCCAAGATGGAGTGCAGTGGCACGATCTTGGCTCACTGCAACCTCTGCCTCCTGGCTTCAAGCAATTCTTATGACTCAGCCTCCCCACTAGCTGGGATTACAGGTGCCTGCCACTGTGCCTGGCTAATTTTTGTATTTTTAGCAGAGACAAAGTTTTGCCATGTTGGCCAGGATAGTCTCGAACTCCTGACCTCAGGTGATCTGCCTGCCTTGGTCTTCTAAAATGCTGGGATTACAGGTGTGAGCCACAGTGCCTGGCCCTGGGTAATCAACTTTTTTTTTTTTTTTTTGAGACAGAGTCTCGCTCTGTTGCCCAGGCTGGAGTGAAGTTGCACAATCTCGGCTCACTGAAAGCTCTGCCTTCTGGGTTCATGTCATTCTCCCGCCTCAGCCTCCCGACTAGCCGGGACTACAGGCGCCCGCCACCACATCCGGTTAATTTTTTTTTGTATTTTTAGTAGAGACAGGGTTTCACCACATTAGCCAGGATGGTCTCGATCTCCTGACCTCGTGATCCACCAGCCTCGGCCTCCCAAAGTGCTAGGATTACAGGAGTGAGCCACCTTGCCCACCTCCCCCACCTTTTTTTCTTGAGACACAGTCTCGCTCTGTTGCCCAGGCTGGAGTGCAGTGGCATGATCTCGACTCACTGCAACCTTCGCCTTCCGCATTCAAGCAATTCTCCTGCCTCAGCCTCATGAGTAGCTGGGATTACAGGTGTGTGCCACCATGCCTGGCTAACTTTTGTATTTTTAGTGGAGATGGGGTTTCATCATGTTGGCAGGAACTCTCCATCTAGCAGTGACCACAGAGATGTGAACAAATACAGTTTAACTCAAGCAATGCCACAACAAGAATACGAAGAGAGAGATACACAGAGTAATTCCGATCTTGGAAGACCTCACAGAGGAAAAGACATTGAAGCCAGGTCTTGATGCATGAGGATAAGTCTTTCAGACGAAAAAAGCAATGATTACTCTAGAAATAAGGAAATGCATGTACCAAAATTTAGAGGGCTTGACACGTCCATGGAATGTTCAGAGTGCAGTGTGTATTTGAAGGTGGGGTGCCTGGAAGCAGAGACACAGGCAGTTACAACAGCCAGGTGAACATGAAAAGGGAGGCAGAAGCAAGGTAATGGAGGAGGCCAGAGTCAGGACAGGTTTCTAAGCCAGAAACAAAATGGTCTATGACCTACTGGTCACAGGCAGTGAGAGAGAAGAATCCATAGTTGCTGGATTTGTATACTGTTACATCATTTAGGTCTCAAAATTAAAGAGGTAAGACAGATTAAGAGTGGGGACAGGGATCAGAAAGATGGTATCTTAGTTCAATTTGGAAAAACTGAGTTTGAAATACTTGAGAAGCAGTTAAGCATCCTCTTTACTGCATTCTTCACTTGAATAAACATTGAGTTTCTCTTGTATCAAGTAAAAAGAAAATTAAAAGAGGAATGAAACTGGATCCCATCCTCCTAGAGTTCACTGTATAGTCTGGTTCTTCATGGAGCAGTAGGTAAGGGGAACTTATAGGGGGATTTCTGTTTGTTATGGTGACTAAGGGGTGCTATTTGCACTTATTGGACAGGTGCCAGGGATATAGACATTCTGCAGTACTTGGGATTGTCTTACATCCCTCTTTACTTTCAATGTCCCATTGGACATCTACATAGTGAAAAATCTGTTTAGCGCTATTTGAACCTAAAACCTAATTCTGTTTTACATAGAAAGACAATTTTTTTTTTTTTTACAGGTTGTATACTGAATTGTCCTAAATAGAACCTCCATGGAAACTGAGGGAAGACTATACTTGGTTTGTTTGGAACTTTACAAAAGCTGTTCACTATTTTAAAAAATTACATCATGGGCAGCAAAGCTGATCACAGGTTTTGAGTTATCAATACAATGAACCCGGATCGGTCTGAATTGTAGCTGTCCTACTCATGGTAATTCTATATTCAGAATCTATGCACTTGATTATGCCTTCTGGTTGGTCATGCCTGGGTATGTACATATTAGAAAACATGTAATTTGACTATAAATTCCTTTCATTTTTCCTTTTTATTAAAATTAGAGTATTTTATTGCACTTTTGGAATTATATATAGGTAGGTTCCATTAACTATGACTTTCATTTCAGGATAGGAAAGGACATGATATAAAAAGGATTACAATAGGTTTGAGAATGACTAGTGAGAGATGGAGATATATAAATTGAATTGAATACAAAGGAATCCATGAAAGCACTTCAGAGAGGTAAAAAGTAAAGGGGAGAACCAGGAAGAGAGATTATTGGCCATGAGAGATCTGGGAAAGCTCATGGAGGAGAGATTATTGACCATGGGAGATCTGGGAAGACTCACGGAGGAAGAATGAAATGAGCGGGTGCTGATTGATATCCTTCATTAGAATAACTCCAGAAATGTGGGGCTTAGTACCCACCTTGGAACCTGTCTCCAGTGAGGCCCAGTCATTCTGGCACGGCTTTGTTATCAATTTCTTTTCCATGCTCTTCCTGTATCTTCCCGACAAAGGCCTTTGTTCTGGGAGGCTCCAATGGGCAGAGTATGATGAATCCGATGAATCCCTAACCTCTGTGGTGTCTCTTCTGGAATCTGAAAACTGTGGTCTCTGTAATACTTTCTGGTTAATCTTCTCTTCTTTAGGCTAAACCTCTCTACTTCCTCCAACTGTTTCTCATATAATTCGGTTTCATATTTCCTCACCATCTGGATCATTTTCCTCTGAACATGCTGCAATTTGTCAATGGCCCTTTAAAAGTGTGATGCCTAGAACCCAATGTGGCTTCCAGAGTTGAAACATGTAACTGTATTTCCTAATATTTCCAAAAGGCAAAAATGTTATCCCTTTGCACAGGCAGTGAGATCAGGACAGAGGAGGGGGGTGGGGACGGTCTGTCTTAATAATCCCTGTATTGCCAGTATTGGAAAATTTCGTTTTTTGTTTGAGCAAGTTCTATATGATTTTTTAATACTTGCAAGTAGACTTCTGATCTCAAAGAGGGTTTTTCCCCCTTTGTTCATTTTTGTTGTGAGGATTAAATGAAAAAATGTAGGTCTGCCTAACAAATACTAACAATTACTTTTATTTGCTGATAGCATCCATCTACTAGCATCCTATGGTCATTTCCCATCTGAAGACATTTTTCTCTTAACAGACTGTGCCCTGCCCATGTCCCAAGTGATCTAACCAAGACTGGCGGGAACACCACCCTTTCCAGGGGCTTGGTCTATAAAATGGAATTAGTATTTCTGCCTTAAGCTTGAATCTGGTATGTATCTGGAAAACCTCTGCATTCCTGCGTGTCTAGTAAACCTCAGCTTTAGCCCCAAAATGCAAAATTCCATCAAGGCTCCTGATTTTTCATCCCATTTTGGTCTGAGACCGAAATCCTGCAGCAACTTGACTGGCTATTGTGAACATGTTGTCTACACAGGCTAAAACAGTACCAGTTTATCTCATTCTAGATGCTAGGGGCCCCCAAAACCACAGCAATACCACCCACTGGTTTGAACTTAATGGAAACTATAGCAGACCTCTGCATAAGGAAGTCACTCTGACATGAATACTAGCTTGCTATCCTCCTTGAATGCAATGACTTCAAGAAGTGGGAGACAGGTTAGCCAAGGAAGTCTAAGTACTTTATGTTATACTTGCCAGCTGCCCAAGTTTCAACGTGCCTTTACAGCTGAACAGACCAGTTCCAAGGTAAACTAAATGACAGCAGGCATATTTGTCTGTTTTGTTAGCTGATGTATCCCTCACCCTTAGAATAGTGCCAAACACATAAGAGGTGCTCAACAAACATTAGTGGAATTAACTAATAAAATGATCTGGTATGCTAGACATCTGTTTTTGTTTTTCTCAGTATTCCTTTCGTCTGAGAATCGCTTCTTTCCCATTCCATGTTATTCTGGTGGAGCTGTCAGTCATGAAACAGAACAAGCTAACAAATGGTGCCATGAGTCTAGGGGCTCATGGAGATACAAGTCCCTAATTTCTAGATTCCCTACAGTAAGCATGTATCTGTAGTGCTTCTTACTTCTAGAGAATTTGAGGCATACAATCAGGAGCGTTGATGAATGTGGGTGGTACATGCTGCAGGTAGATTTATTCAGAGGCTCAACTTTATGTGAACATTTATCACAAAATCCAAGCCAACAGGATAAAATATACCTCTAGTGAGAATAAGCTTATGTTTCTATTACTGACTTTCATAACTAATCAAATACAAGTATCAGAAATTAAATTATTCAAATAAATGTAAGATGAAACTTTTTCAAATTTCTATTCGGTGAAATACAAGTTTTATAAGGTTAGCTTTAGTATGATAATACTATTTAGAAAAATAGGTTTTTCAGAAAAAATTTAATCTGTAGAATAAAAAGACCCTATATATTGGATTTAAATGATCCAGTAAGTGGGTGACAGGAGAGCTATGGTTGTATAAGGATTTTTTAAAAATTGTGGTAAAGTATATATAAAATTTACCCTCTTTAACCACTTTCTACATGTACGATTCCGTGATGGTAAGCACATTTACAAGGTTGTGTAAATATCACCACTATCCATTTCCAGAACATTTTTATGATTACAAACAGATACCATGTATCCCTTAACCAATAATTTCCCATTTCCCCCCTTCTTCAGCCCCTAGTAACGTCTATTCTGCTTTCCATCTCTGCGAATCTGTCTATTCTGGCTACCTCAAATAAGTGGACTCAGACAATATTTGTCCTTTTGTGCTGGCTTATTTCATTTACCATGATGTTTTCAGGGTTCATCCATGTTGTGGCATGTATCAGAATTGCATTTTTTATGGCTAATATTCCATTGTGTATATATACTGCATTTTGTTTCTCCACATCTGTTGATGGACACTTGTTTCTACCTTTTGACTGTTGTGAATAATGCTGCTATAAATACTGGTGTACAAGTATCTGTTTGAGTCTCTGCTTTCAGTTCTTTTGAGTATATGCCTAGGAGTAAAACTGCTGGGTCATATGGTAATTTTTTTATTTTTATATTTATAAAATATTATATATTTTATGTATAATCATGTTGTATTTAAAATGACTTCTAAGACAAAAAATTATTAATTTAGGAACTATATATTGTGAAAATTTTTACTCTTTACTCTCTATTTCACTTATCATTATTAAAGATGGAGCGATTACTATAGTAAGTAGAGCAGAGAATATATCATTTCCTTGTAGTGAAGGAAGGAGGAATTTCCAAGCAACACAAAGAAGTCACAATAATTGTGCTGTGCTGAAATGGATTTTGACCAGTCACCAGGGTTTTGACAAACACAAAATACAGTCTTTAGAAAACTCAAAGTTCCATTCAGAAATAGAGTAAGAATAAATCCCATTATTTGATCATACAGTTGTAGTCTCTGTAGGCAAAATAATTGATTAGTATTCATCAAAAGTGTAACAGTCATGAAAGATAAGGCAAGACTGAGGAATTGTCACAAGTTGGAGGAGACTAAGGAGATCTGACAACTAAATATAATGTGGATTCTGGATTGCATGTGGAACAGAAAATGAACGATAGTGGAAAGACTGGTAAAACCTGAATATAGCCTGTAATTTAGTTAATAGTATTATACTAGCATTAATATCTTGGCTTTGATAACTGTACCTATGATTGTATAATATGTTAACATTAGTGGGAGCTGAGTAAAAAGCACACAAGAATTCTCTACTATTTTTGCAACTTTTGTGTAAGTTTAACATGATTTCAAAATAAAAAGCTAAAAGGAATTATAGTTTCTAGACTTTAATAGGCTTTTGAAATTTTTAACCCAAATAATTAGAGACAGCAATGATAAATTTGGGGTTTTAAGTATGATCCATGAATGAGCCTCCAACATTCACAGAGGAAAAAATATTAGACTTTTTATAGTTAGTGCCTCTAATAAACAATTCTCTCATGTCCCCTCATTGTCATACTGGTCCTGTGTTTCTTTCTCCTAGATTCATCCTCCCAAACCTTTCAACTTTATCTTATGGAACAAACTTTACGTAAGAAAGCTCCTCCTAACATTTATAGCTTCTCAAATAATTTTCCTCTTCAACTATTGCCAAATCAATGTTTACAGCCCAGATTGCTCTCTGAGTTCTGACAGTACATCCAGTGGACATCCCTACTTCCAAACGTAGCTGAAGTTTGATTCATTTGCCCAAGTCAGAAACATAGGACTCAGCCTAGACTTGTCCTCGACCACCTCCACTCTCTGCTCCCAAGTATCTTAGTCTGTATTGTAGTAAAAAATCCAGTATATTCCACTCACTAAAGTATAAAGCTGAAATTCAGCCATCTTTATCATTGATATAGACACAATGAAGTTGTCTATCAATGATAAAGATAAAACCTCACTTTGGCCTAAATGGCAAAAGAGATTGTAGAAATTGATTACAGGCGAATTCAGGAAATTTTTGATGGTGGTGAAAATGCCCTTTATATTTTGTATTAAAAGAGAAAGAAGCTATAAGCTATTGTATACTGATATTTCTATCAGCCATGTGCCTACTCATTTGTGTATTCTGGATTTAGAAAACACCACAAAAATGAACTAGTTCCTTTTGCCATTCCTAAATTCTACAAAGAAAAGATAGTTCTTGACTGGAAGAGGAAAAAAAAAAGCCAGAATATCATTCTATATTTAGTAAAAGGTTCTAAAGATTTGGAAGATAAAATTCCAATTCTAACAGAGCATAGCAGAAATAAGAACAAGCAAAGTTCTTCATTATATAAATAAAGATATTGAATAAAGTCAGAAGAAATCATCCTGACCATATATTGAGAATACTGTGTGCTGACCTGGCCTTGCTATAATCAGAAAGTCAACTCAAAAAAAGAATGATATATAGGAAGGCATCTAGATTAGCCTAGAAACTTGAAGATCCCAATTACTTCCTGCTATGGACTGAATGTCTGTGACCTCCCAAAATTCATACTTGAAATCCTAACCTCCAAGGTGATGATATTAGGAGATGGGCTTTTGGGAGATGATTAGGTCATAAGGGTGAGACCCTCATGGAACAGGATTAGTGTCTTATAAAAGAGACCCTAGAATGTTCCCCCATCCCTTCTATCATGTAAGAGTACAGTGAGAAGACCACTGTCTATGAACCAGAGAATGGACTCTCACCAGATACCAAATGGGATGACTCCTTAACCTTGGACTTCCCAGCCTCCAGGACTGTGAGAAATAAATTTCTATTGTTAGTAAGCACTCAGTTTATGGTACTGTGTTATAGCAGCCTACAGAGACTTCCATATAGAACAGGATTAAGATTCATTATTCTTTATTACTGGAATCTAAAAACTATATGTGACTAAGTGTTTTAATCTGTATTTTTAATGACTTACAGTGATGAAAAGTTGATATGGTTTGGCTGTGTCCCCACCCAAATCTCATCTTGGAATTGTAGCTCCCATAATTCCCATGTGTTGTGGGAGGGACCCAGTGGGAGATAACTGAATCAAGGGGGTGGTTTCCCCCATACTGTTCTTGCAGTTAAGTCTCATGAGATCTGATGATTTTATAAGGGGTTTCCCTTTGGCTTGACTCTCTTTCTCTCTTGTCTGCTGCCATATAAAACGTGCCTTTTGCCTTCTACCATGATTGAGAGGCCTCCCCAGCTGCATGCAACTGTGAGTCCATTAAACCTCTTTTTCTTTATAAATTACCCAGTCTCAGGTATGTCTGTATTGGCAGCGTGAAAACGGACTAATACAAAAGTAAAACTCAAAACATTTAACCAAATTTAGTTTAATTCTCACTTTGTCATATGAACTTCTACTGAATATGATTTGGATCTTTTGGTGGATGTCACAGTAACCTGAAATCCCTAGGTTAGGGAAATAATACTATCCAACTAGGTCAGAAGTAGACTCGGAACTAAACTCACACAAACTATTTTACAGTTGTTTTGTCTTATTAGGGTGAGCTACTGTGCTACTGTAGTGGAGTCCAGTAAGATTTTGCTGCTCATTAAGTAATAACTCATTCTCCACATCTGCTACTGAGAAACACAAATGCCAGATTTGGTAGTCACGAAAGCTGTGTATCTCAAATCAGGCAGTTTAGTCATATACCCTATCACCATATGTGGGTTTCTTCTTGAGAACATCTTTGCTCCATGGTCAACGGGGCCTGTTCTAGGAGCCCTGCTTTGATAGAATTTCCTAGTATGTCATGTTAGAATCAGTGAATCAGAGACTCTTGAAGCTAGAAAGAAACTGTAAGTTCAAAACCGATATCACAGGAAAAGTATAATCTGATGAGATACTATTCAAGTCTTTCTTGTATTTGTCCTGTTGAAACAATGAAAATCAGGCTAGGCACGGTGGCTCATGCCTGTAATCCCAGAACTTTGGGAGGCCGACAAGGGTGAATCACCTGAGGTTGGGAGTTCGAGACCAGCCTAGCCAACATGGTGAAACACCTTTTCTATTAATAATACAAAAAAACTTATCTGGGTATGGTGGCAGGCACCTATAATCCCAGCTACTCAGGAGGCTGAGGCAGGAGAATTGCTTGAACCTGTCGGGAGGAGGTTGCAGTGAGCCGAGATTGTGCCACAGTGAGACTCTCTCAATTAAAAAGAAAGAAAGAAAGAAAGAAAAAGAAAGAAAGAAAGAAAGAAAGAAAGAAAGAAAGAAAGAAAGAAAGAAAGAAAGAAAGAAAAGAAAGAAAAACAATCCAGAAGAATCTTTCCCTCTCATCACAAATGTTAGAGTTGCTATATATAATTAAATATAGAATTGTCTCATTTTTCTAGTGCAGGGTAACAAGCTGTATTTGAAATTAACCATAAGCTATTGTTTATTCACGTATCCTAGACCTCCATCTCTTTTGATGGAAATAAGTTTCCTGCTCTTGTTTTTATTTTTATTTGTTTTTGAGACAGAGTCTTGCTCTGTCTCCCAGGCTGGCATGCAGTGGCGCAATCTTGGCTCACTGCAACCTCCGCCTCCTGGGTTCAAGCAATTCTCCCGCCTTAGCCTCCCGAGTAGCTGGGACTACAGGCGCCCACCACCATGCCCGGCTAATTTTTTTTGTATTTTTAGTAGAGATGGGGTTTCACCATATTGGCCAGGCTGGTCTCAAACCCCTGACCTTGTGATCCATCTGCCTGGGCCTCCTGAAGTGTT